TCGATCCCCGGGACCACCCATACACAAAAAAATTAAATAATTTATGCATGCATGACTGTAAGTCGCTTTGGATAAAAGCGTCTGCTAAATGGCATATTATTATTTATCATTTTCCTCCCTCATGATGCCATCTATTTTGTGAAGTGCACCAGTCCCTCCTGCAGCAAAGCACCCCCACAGCATGATGCTACCACCCCCGTGCTTCACGGTTGGGATGGTGTTCTTCGCCTTGCAAGAAACCCTCTATTTCCTCCAAAAATAACAAAGGTCATTATGGCCAAACAGTTCTATTTTTGTTTCATCAGACCAGAGGACATTTCTCCAAAAAGTACGATCTTTGTCCCCATGTGCAGTTACAAACTGTAGTCTGGCTTTTTTTTGGCGGTTTTGGAGCAGTGGCTTCTTCCTTGCTGAGCAGCCTGTCAGGTTATGTCGATATAGGACTAATTTTACTGTGGATATACAGTCGTGGTCAAAAGTTTTGAGAATGACACAAGTATTGGTCTTCACAAAGTTCGCTGCTTCAGTGTTATGAGATATTTTTGTCAGATGTTACTATGGTATACTGAAGTATAATTACAAGCATTCCATAAGTGTCAAAGGCTTTTATTGACAATTACATTTAGTTTATGCAAAGAGTCAATATTTGCAGTGTTGACCCTTCTTTTTCAAGACCTCTGCAATCCGCCCTGGCATGCTGTCAATTAACTTCTGGGCCACATCCTGACTGATGGCAGCCCATTCTTGCATAATCAAAGCTTTGTCAGAATTGGTGGGTTTTTGTTTGTCCACCCACCTTTTGAGGATTGACCACAAGTTCTCAATGGGATTAAGGTCTGGGGAGTTTCCTGGCCATGGACCCAAAATTTCGATGTTTTGTTCCACGAGGCACTTAGTTATCACTTTTGCCTTATGGCAAGGTGCACCATCATGCTGGAAAAGGCATTGGTCGTCACCAAACTGTTCTTGGATGGTTGGGAGAAATTGCTCTCGGAGGATGTGTTGGTACCATTCTTTATTCATGGCTGTGTTCTTAGGCTAAATTGTGAGTGAGCCCACTCCCTTGGCTGAGAAGCAACCCCACACATGAATGGTCTCAGGATGCTTTACTGTTGGCATGACACAGGACTGATGGTAGCGTTCAACTTGTCTTCTCCGGACAAGGTGTTTTCCGGATGCCTCAAACAATCGGAAAGGGGATTCATCAGAGAAAATGGCTTTACCCCAGTCATCAGCAGTCCAATCCCTGTACCTTTTGCAGAATATCAGTCTGTCCCTGATGTTTTTCCTGGAGAGAAGTGGCTTCTTTGCTGCCCTTCTTGACACCAGGCCATTCTCCAAAAGTCTTCGCCTCACTGTGCCTCAGATGCACTCACACCTGCCTACTGCCATTCCTGAGCAAGCTCTGCACTGGTGGTGCCCCGATCCCGCAGCTGAATCAACTTTAGGAGACGGTCCTGGCACTTGCTGGACTTTCTTGGGCGCCCTGATGCCTTCTTCACAACAATTGAACCTCTCTCCTTGAAGTTCTTGATGATCCGATAAATGGTTGATTTAGGTGCAATCTTACTTGCAGCAATATCCTTGCCTGTGAAGCCCTTTTTGTGCAAAGCAATGATGACGGCACGTGTTTCCTTGCAGGTAACCATGGTTAACAGAGGAAGAACAATGGTTTCAAGGACCACCCTCCTTTTAAAGCTTCCAGTCTGTTATTCTAAGTCAATCAGCATGACAGAGTTATCTCCAGCCTCACCTGTGTTAACGAGAGAACCACTGACATGATGGCAGCTGGTCCTTTTGTGGCAGTGCTGAAATGCAGTGGAAATGTTTTTGGGGATTAAGTTAATTTTCGTGGCAAAGAGGGACTTTGCAATTAATTGCAATTAATCTGATCACTCTTCATGACATTCTGGAGTATATGCAAATTGCCATCATCAAAACTGAGGCAGCAGACTTTGTGAAAATTAGTATTTGTGTCATTCTCAAAACATTTGACCACGACTGTAGATACTTTTGTACCTGTTTCCTCCAGCATCTTCACAATATCCTTTGCTGTTGTTCTGGGATTGATTTGTACTTTTCGCACCAAAGTATGTTCATCTCTAGGAGACAGAACGCGTCTCCTTCCTGAGCGGTATGACGGCTACGTGGTCCCATGGTGTTTATACTTGTGTACTATTGTTTGTACAGATGAACGTGGTACCTTCAGGCGTTTGGAAATTGCTCCCAAGGATGAACCAGACTTGTGGAGGTCTACAATTTATTTTCTGAGGTCTTGGCTGATTTCTTTTGATTTTCCCATGATGTCAAGCAAAGAGGCACTTAGTTTGAAGGTAGGCCTTGAAATACATCCACAGGTACACCTCCAATTGACTCAAATGATATAAATTATCCTATCAGAAGCTTCTAAAGCCATGACATCTGTCACGATCGTCTAGAACAGGAGACCAAGGCGCAGCGTTGCGAGTGAACATATTATATTTATTAAATGCTCACAAGAACAAAAACAATAAACAACGAAAGCGTGACGTCCAGTGTACAACACGAACACACACGAACAAAATCCCACAACCCGAAAGAAAAACAGATAGATTAAATATGGCTCCCAATCAGAGACAAACAGCCGACAGCTGACACTCGTTTGCCTCTGATTGGGAGTCACACCGGCAAACATAGAAAATAAACCACCTAGAACACCCACCAGAGAAACAGAAAACATAGAATGAACACACCCTGGCTCAACATATTGAGTCCCCGAGCCAGGGTGTGACAACATCATTTTCTGGAATTTTCCAAGCTGTTTAAAGGCAGTCAACTTAGTGTATGTAAACTTCTGACCCACTGGAATTGTGAAACAGTGAATTATAAGTGAAATAATATGTCTGTAAACAATTGTTGGAAAAATTACTTGTGTCATGCACAAAGTAGATGTCCTAACCGACTTGCCAAAACTATAGTTAAACAAGAAATTAGTGGAGTGGTTGAAAAACAAGTTTTAATGACTCCAACCTAAAGTGTATGTAAACTTCCGACTTCAACTCTATATGCACAAGGACTACTTTTAACAATTTCTACTGAAACTTTTACAAAAACACATTTACTTGAAGAACAGTGCAGATGCAAAGTTTGGTAACAGAATGACGGTTTGTGCTGTTGGTGCCATCATTCTGTTACCAAACTTTGCAGATGTTTCACTTTAAAATGTATGTCAAACAAAAACCAATGATTGTAAAGTTAAACCATACAACTATATACACAAGGTCTACTTTTAACAATTTCCACTGAAAATGTACTTGAAGAACAGTGCAGATGCAAAGTTTGGTAACAGAATGACGGTTTGTGCTGTTGGTGCCATTATTCTTTTACACACATTTTAAAGTGAAAAATCTGATTCTCAGTGTCACTCTGTTACCATGGAATTGCCCATACCTTAAAATTCTGGACCATAATCTTATATATTTTCTGAACAACAGGACAGCCCTTCTGCATACACAAATATAGTGAGCCATATGCAAACAATGTGTACTCAGATGTTATAGGCTTGTTGTTGGATGCAATACATTGGGAGTATGTATACATTATGGTTTATAACCTACTCATGTGTTTACCCTTCACTCACCCAGCTGTTAGAACAGCAGGACTATCTGTCACAGTTAATGTATGTAAACATTTAGTATGATCCATATTTTATTTAAAAAGGAGGAGAATTAGGACACCGATATGATTAATTACTTTACTGAAACCTCTGACTCACTTTCATTTTTTCTTGCTTTTGTTAATCAGAGGCAACCTGCTACTAAGAGGCCAGAGCAGTCAGACTGCTGGCATTGGGGTTGAGTGGTTTTGCCTGTACTACCAAGACATTCTGACTGATTCAATCTAATTTGAATGCTCAGCGTTTGCTTTTTTCACCTGTTTTTGAATAGTCTCTGGCTGAGTAACAGCTCATTAAAAGACAGAAATTAACCTCTGCACAATAGCACAGCAACAAAAGGAATTTCACAGATTTATTCTGCCCTGTTAGGCATGTCAAATTAGTCCCCAAGAAGTCTGCAGGCTGGTGCTGTGTAGGCTGGGTGCTGTCTCCACTCTGACCCTCTGCTGAGAAACTATAAAGGATGTCAGATCTCTCGGTCCAACCACAGAACCAGACCTGGGCTCAAATGCTATTTGAAAACTATTTTAGCCTGACTGGAGTGCCAGGGGGGCGGGGTATGAGCTTTTGGGACTTTTTTATTGGTTCCATTGTAACAGGCAAGGTCAGTCAAACAGCTAAAGTATTCTAAATGATTTCAAATAGTATTTGAAGCCAGGTCAGCAGCTAACTAAATGTATTACTCTCTGTTTCACACAAATGTTGCCTTGTCAGCATGTAGCAGATATGGACTTGTAATTCATGCCGATATTTAGGTTAAAAGTCTTGTCAACATCAGCTATGTTTAACGAAATGCAACTCCCTGTCTGACAGGTTTTATGGCTTTTATCTCTCACCGGGAACTCTCAATCCCTCCCTCCCTCCCTCCCTCCCTCCCTCCCTCCCTCCCTCCCTCCCTCCCTCCCTCCCTCCCTCCCTCCCTCCCTCCCTCCCTCTCTCTCACACCTCTTTCTCTCACCCCTTTCTCTCTCTCCCTCTCTCTCTGTATCTCTTTCCCACTCCCTCTCTATATCTCTTTCTTCTTTATCTAAATCACCATCTGTTTGTGGGATGATAATGGAACGATGTAATGCGGAGCTCTAATACCTGACCTGGTTTCTGTGTATTTCAGTGGAGGAAGAGGACAACCCTGACCATCCTCTGGCCCCCTTCTGAAACACACACACACACTCACACTAACCGTGGACCGCAGTTCTACCAGCCACTACCAGCCTGTACAGGGAGGACACTGATGCCCATGACCATTGGTTGTTGATGTCACACCCCACACCTACCCTCCAGGCCCTCCTCAAGAACCCTGCCTCTCCTCTAAGAGCAGTGTGACCAGACAGAGAGAGCGGACAGCATGGCTCTAAGCCCCCTCCCCTGGCCCCCGCTGGCATGGCTGTGTGTAGGGCTGCTGTTGCCCCTGCTGCCCCTGGTGCGGGGCGGGGAGTGCCCACGGCTGTGCGTGTGTGAGGTGCGACCCTGGTTCACCCCTCAGTCCACCTACAGGGAGGCAGCCACAGTGGACTGCAATGACCTGCGGCTGACACGCATCCCCTCCAACCTGTCCTTTGACACCCAGGTGTTGCTGCTCCAGAGCAACTCCATCGCCCACACCAGTGGGGAGCTAGAAGCCCTGTTCAACCTGACGGAGCTGGACCTGTCCCAGAACAACTTCAGCAGTGTGGAGGCCGTGGGCCTTGCCAACATTAACCTGCTCACCACCCTGCACCTGGAGGAGAACCTGATCAGCCAGCTGCCCGACCACTGCCTACAGGACCTCAGCAACCTGCAGGAGCTCTACATCAACCACAACCAGATCAGCTCCATCGCCCCAGGAGCCTTCTCTGGCCTGCGCAGCCTGCTGCGCCTCCACCTCAACTCCAACAGGCTCCGGGTCATCGACAGCCGCTGGTTCGAGGCCACGCCCAACCTGGAGATCCTGATGATCGGCGATAACCCTGTCATTGGTATCTTGGACATGAACTTCAAGCCCCTGGGGAGCCTGAGGAGCCTGGTTCTGGCTGGCATGGACCTCACCGACATTCCCGGGAATGCTCTGATGGGTCTGGATAATCTGGAGAGCCTGTCCTTCTACGACAACAAGCTGGTCCGAGTGCCCCAGCTGGCCCTGCAGAAAGTGGCCAACCTGAAGTTCCTGGACCTGAACAAGAACCCGGTGCACAAGATCCAGGAGGGGGACTTCAGGAACATGCTGCATCTGAAGGAGCTTGGCATCAACAACATGGCTGAGCTGGTGTCCATCGACCGCTACGCCCTGGACAACCTGCCTGAGCTGACCAAGCTGGAGGGCACCAACAACCCCAAGCTGTCCTATATCCACCGGACGGCCTTCAGGGACGTGTCCTCCTTGGAGAGCCTGATGCTCAACAACAATGCCCTCAACGCCATCTACCAGTGCACCGTGGAGGCGCTGCCCAACCTGCGCGAGATCAGCCTGCACAGCAACCCGCTGCGCTGCGACTGCGTCATCCAGTGGATGAGCTCTAACAGGACCAGTGTGCGCTTCATGGAGCCCCTGGCCATGCTGTGTAGCTCACCACCCGAGCTCCGGGGCCAGCGGGTCAGAGAGGTGAGGCTGCTGGACTCACCAGAGCAGTGCCTGCCCCTCATCTCCCACAACACCTTCCCCAGCCACCTGAGCCTAGAGCTGGGCATGAGTGTCAGCCTGGACTGCCGGGCCATGGCTGAGCCCGAGCCAGAAATCTACTGGGTGTCTCCTATGGGGAGCAAGATCACAGCGGACACGGTGTCGGAGCTGTACCACCTGAGCAGTGAGGGCACCCTGCGGCTGTCCCATGTCCAGGTGGAGGACTCGGGCCGCTACACCTGCGTGGCCCAGAACACAGAGGGGGCTGACACACGCGTCACCACCATCCGCGTCAACGGCACCCTGCTGGACAGCGTCGAGGTGATGAAGATCTACGTCAAGCAGACCGAGTCCCACTCCATCCTGGTCTCCTGGAAGATCAACTCCAACGTCATGACCTCCAACCTTAAGTGGGCCTCGGCCACCATGAAGATCGACAATCCCCACATCACCTACACTGCACGCGTGCCTGTCGACGTACACGAATACAACCTGACCCACCTGCAGCCGGGCACTGAGTATGAGGTGTGCCTCACCGTCTCCAACATCCACCTACAGACCCACAAGTCGTGTGTTAACGTGACCACGCGCAGCATCACCTTCACCCTGGACGTGTCGGACCAGAGGCCCAGCGCCGCCCTGCTAGTCGTCATGGCCACCATGCTGGCCTTTCTCAGCCTGGCCACCATGGGGGTGTACGTGGCCCGCCGCTGGAAGAGGAAGAACTATCACCACTCCCTGAAGAAGTACATGCAGAAGACCTCATCCATCCCCCTCAATGAGCTCTACCCGCCCCTCATTAACCTGTGGGAGGCGGACAGTGAGAAGGACAAGGAGGGCGGGGCAGAGAGCAAGCCCTCCCCCGTGGACACCACACGCAGCTACTACATGTGGTGAGGGGGCCCGGCCCAGTCCGCCCCTCCCCCAGCACACACAGACACACTTTTGCAATTTTGGGGGAAAAAATCTGATAGTTGCAAATGTTTTTATTTTTAGCTTTGCTAATACGTAACAGAGTGATAAGGACAGGATTTGTATTAGTATAGCTTATCGCCTTTGTTTGACTATTTTTCTCTTTTATCGTTTGGACTATTCCAAGATGGCAGCTGTGTCTAGCTTCTAGGTTGTCTTAGTTGCTGTGCTTTATTACTGTGGTGCATTTTTAATAGCACAGCCTTTTGGCTTGTTGCCATGGACTCACTTTTTCAGGGTCGGTGATGCAGCAACAGGGACTACTAGTCTAGGTAAAGGTTACCCTGGCAGTGTTGGTAGAGATCACACTGTTTTTTCTCTCTATTGTAAAACAGTTAATCTGTTGTGCACTGAAATGTAAAGGAGTTTGTATGGACTTCAATTAAAAGCTGACTAAGGGGATTAGACTTGTTAAACTGTCTACTGAATAACGTTAGCGATTGTACGGTAATGTTGTATCAACTATCATTTGAAACTATTTTTCAATTTTAATTGGGGAAAAAAAAGGAATTAGTTTGCTTATAAACGTTCTGTAAAGCACTAGAAATGTGAATGTTTGATAACATACAGTTACTAGGTACAGTAGTAGCTTTTTTATTTCCTCTGAATTATTTCTTTCTTATCTGCTAGAATCTGTCGCTGACCACTTACTTTTGTTGTGATTTCAACACACAAAATGTTGTATATGAGGAAGAAGTTTAAATAAATACAATTTTGATCTTTTTATATAAATAATGTGTCTCAGTCAGTTGTTGTACATTTATTTCAGCAGTTTGATTAATTATAGTCCTTCAATCGCTATAAATCATAATGGGGCACCATGACCTTTGATCTCTGTTTGACCTCTGATCTCTTGGCTCTGGTTATTTTTCCATGTGGACGTGGTTCCACTTCACATCCAATGTGCTACAGCAGAACATAAGCAGTATCTCAACATGGAGCTTCACGGCTCAGACTCACACTGTGCAGCAGAGCCCACTCCCCTGAGTCTAATCAGCCGTACAGAGAGCACAGATCCTGTCGGCTTAACCCCCCTCTCAGTCTGCTCTGTTCTACATGTGTCTCTGTGTTTGTGTGTGTGTGTGTGCGTGAGTGCATGTGTGCACGCTATATCAGAGTGGGAGAGAATAACTTTATTCCACCATATTACCACATTACCACATCATCAATCAGTGCTTCAGGAATCAGTGAAGGAACTGGGGTAATATCGTACAACATTCCACCTTCACGCCACATGACACAGGAAAATATGGTTAACATGAGACAACAGATGGTGTATATACTGTTCCCTCCTGATCCGACCAAATCATTCCTCTCACAAAGCTCACATTACAAACATGCTGAGAGAAACTGCTATGAATCTGCAAGGGGAGAGGGGTGCAGAGGAACAGGATCTCTCAAAGAGGATAGTAATATACCTGTGGAGAGGGCATGAGAGGAGGGGACTGGTCTGAAGATGGATATGACCAGATGGAGGGCAGTAGGAGGTTGTGGATGTTCTGGGTGGCTGATGTGTGCCTGCGTCTTATACATTAGCGGAGTGCCATCAATCCCCCTCTGTCTGTTTAGAATGGTGTCTTATTGCTCTGTGAGCTGCATACAGGCAGTTGATTAGGAGACCGTGTTAACCAAGGGGTTATGACTTGATTGTGTGAGAATAATAGTCAATACTATGCTGTAAAGGATCTAAATGAAAAAGACCAGTGCAGCTCATCTTGGTAATATTTTTAATCCATGTATCAAATGTATTTGTGAGTCTGTGCTGCCTTCTAGTGGGTGCTATAATAAAGCTCTTGTGACCACTAACATTTACCATGAGAAGTAATGTGCTGCTATTTATGAAAAATACTGTACCTAAATATATATTTTTTTTATGGAATGGAGATGTAAAGCCTCAGAAATGAATGTTCAGGGAAACAATGGATACTGATTGTACAAAACATTAAGAACACCTTCCTAATATTGAGTTGCGCCCCCTTTTGCCCTCAGAACAGCCTCAATTCGTCGGAGCATGGTTGTCATGTGAATTTCTATCTCTAATTCAACCTAAGCTTGAATCATTAGGTTGTAAGGCTCTGGTTTTAATCATCAATGATTCAAGGTCCATAACCACGAAGAAGGATTTTTTGTATGTTTATTCATGGAGAGCTCTGGCGCTAAAAACACATACATACTGTTTTTATACCTCTTGACAAACAAAGGCACTATGCTCCTCCCACCTTTAGGTGGCTTTCTTAAACAGTTTCCGCCTCCTCCTTTACCCTTGAATGTTTAGTACCGCCCCCTCTGTTAGTGGGTTGACACTACATGATAATTCTAACATTTATACTGTATTTGGGGTGAAATCCTTTAGTCATTATTCTTAAAATCCAAATTAATCTAACAATGGTCTCTAAAGTGTTCAACAGGGATGCTGGCCCATGTTAACTCTAATGCTTCCCACAGTTGTGTCAAGTTGGCTGGATGCCCTTTGTTTGGGTGGTGGACCATTCTTGATACACACGGGAAACTGTTGAGCGTGGAAAACATGGTTCCAAGGAGGAGGGAAGGAGTAGGAGTCTGTTGATGACTCTGTTCTGCTGTTACATTACGTTTTCAGCCATGTTCCGTCACATTGTCCATTAATATTTCAAGTTTATTTTTGTCACACACTGTGTTCACACACAAGAGGGCAGTGCACACTCTCTTGTTTACTATACTTTGTCCTAGGAGTCAGGGACACACCTAAATAACACATTTAAAAAATTACAGCTGTGAATGTTACAGTCATCTGTTTTTGTGGGTTCAAGGGATTGCTGTTTGTTTGAGGACTCCCATTCCTTAGTGTACTGTATATGATCAATTATAATATTCTGATCAGAGGTGAGCTCATACAATTTAGGGTAACATTTTCTGAAAGGAAAACTGAAATAAGCAACAACAAAAAAAACATATAGTAGTGGTGGTTGTTCAAAAATAGTTGTCATATTAAACCACACTATCTTCAAATACTAAACACGTTAGGGAAATGTTTGCAGGCATTATCATGATCATTTGTTGGGAAGATGGAAATTGAAGCAGGCCGTTAAATGAAATCTCTTGTAGCATGTCACAATAAAACCAGGCAATGATTGTGTTGACATTCTTGGAATTTATTTCCAAAGCAGACCAACTTTATTTAAAAATATATATATATTCCCTTGAGATGCATCATCTCTTTATCCAGGGATAGGTTGGAAAGGAAATTACAACAACAATAAGAAAAAAAGATTAAACATTTTTGAAAAATAACACTAGAGCTAACATTAACATAATCACAGGAGACACTCGGGTGCTATGGAAAAAGGCTACAGAACTATGACACAACACCATTTCATGAGGATGCATAATTTGTTGAAACTGTTGTTTAACTACATTATTTGTATAAATCTTAAATGACAAAAGATGACTGAACAAAATGTGTGACAGCATCAAGTTTAAACACCACACATGTTGATTGGATTTATTTCCCTAATCATACTCAAGTTACTTTTTTGAATTAGCTACTGGGGGGAAAAGACAAAGGAAACTTCAACAGTTGGTTTTGTAATCACATCGTATGCCCTCAACTATTTCCTCAGCTGTGGCGAGGGGTACGAGACATTTTCCACATGGACATGTACGCACACACTCATGCCCTTTGTAGCGACATTTCACTCCAATAAACATTTCATCAGCATCACAAGTAGTGAGGTTTTCGATCACAATCTTCCTGTCAAATTGTAGGGTCTGACCTTGTGGCAGGTGGAACGCCAGGGTCACATGGTCCCACATGTACCATTCATCACAACCGCTATCTGTTCCTACTATTTGGTTAACTTCATCTATGGCTAACCCAACCGCATGGGTTTTAGACATGGCTTGTGCATGCCAGACAACATTGCCCTTCCTGTAACCACAGACAGCATCATCACTACCATCACCAAGAACTGGGTACTTCTCAAACTCATTATCATGTGGACAGTGAACAAGCACTATGTACATGATCTCTTGTTTGTAGACTACAGTCTCATACACTCTCAGGACAGGCTCTTCTCCACCACATATCTGCTGACTGTACATCTTTAGGAGATCAGACAGAATGAAAGTAAACCTGAAGTTCCCAAAGCGTGATGCCTTCCTGAAGGCAGGTGAGGTGGTGAACTTGCTGAGGAAGGGTTGCTGCATCTGTCTCTGCTCAGGTGTTCTGTCAGGGAAGATTTTCTCCAGGTAACGGTGTTCTGCTGCATTGATATCGTCATCATCCACAGGAAGATTGCACCACAGGAAACTCTTCTCACCGCCATTAAATCCACCTGATTCCAAGATTCCGTCAAGGCCTCTTTTTGTAGTGACATGGGCCACTTTGGACAGATGGTACTCTGGTGCTTCTGGGTATGGTGGAATGTCTTGTCTTGATAGGTATCTAGCTATTTCTGCCTTTCCTAAAAGGGTATTGTCTTGTTTAATTGTGGTGATATTCTTATGCTCTCCACTGGAAAATGTCTCCTTTACAAATCTGGCATTTTTACGGCACTTCATTTCCCTAAGATAAAAAAATAATAATTCAAATGTTTGTTGAACACAGACATTCAATTCTGCTCTCCGCACCTATTTAGTAGGCTAGAAATTATGTATTTATTTTTACACACACATTTTAATTGTTACCGTGATACAATCTACCTTTTTGTTCCAAGTTTGGACACAGCTGCTTGATGGAAGTGATGGAAGATCTGCGGTCTGGTAGATGTATATACTTTTTGTCAATTCACAATGAGTGAATAACCTGTACAGTAGTTCAATCAATCATTCAAGAAAAGTATCTGAACAACAGTTTGTATCCAAACATCACTGTAAAAAAGTGGCTCTCCTAATTAACTGGAAGTTGGCAGGAAAGTTTTACTAACATCCATCTCTGAATTGGACAAAAGTCACAATTTCAAGTCCTCCTTACTTACAGATTGATTTCATCATCTGAACTACATTTTCTAGGTTGGATGAACTATAATACGAATATTGGTGCAACTATAAAGGTAATTTTGACTATTTCAATAATATGTTATTCTTGAACTTTCATGACATAGGCTAATTATAATTTACATATGTACAAATAGCCACCAAATATATGTGGTTACTTCATGAAATTATGTAAGTATGTGTAATTAAATCACATTTTTGTCTAATGAAATGTCGTTGTTTCTTTAACATAACCTACAATAACTTAATTTGTTTGGAGACTTGCCTGATTGTAAAGTTTCAGATTGGTGGCCTTCTGTTGATGTCTCCCCACTGTATGGCAGCTCCTAGATGAAATGTCCCAATTGTATGTGTGTATCTATACGTATTGAGTCTGATTCTCAAGGCTGTGTTTCTCAAGAAATGAAACTAGATTTCCTATGTGGGATGTGGCTAAACTCTTCGCTTACACAGACAGCCCAATTCTGATATTTTTTTCTCACTTATTGGTCTTTTGACCAATCAGATCAGCTCTGAAAAAGATCTGATGTGAAAAGATCTGACGTGATTGGTCAAAATACCAGCTAGTGGGAAAGATATCAGAAATGGGCTGTCTGTGTAAGCGAAGAGTTTAGCCACATCCTACTTAGGAAATCTAGTTTCATTTCTTGAAAAATTAATGACGATCAGGTTAATAAGTTGCCTGAACAGCCGCTAGTGTTCGCTGTTTACCTGTCTTTTGAAGGTCCTTGTTTATCATGGTGAGCTGTCTCTTTGTAGATAGCACTTTACAATGTAATGATCAGGTTCTTGCTGAGACATTTCATAGTAAAATGGTAAATGGACCTTGTTTCCATTGGATCTATTGAAATAAGCAGCAGATGTTTACCAATTGTGATTCATTCTTTGAAGTAAGTACCAGAAAGTATCCACAGGTAACAACAGTGGAAACAGTACTGTAAGTTAAGGTGCTACCTTTATGTTTTTATTATGGTGGCAACATGCTCATGTGGACCTGCACAAGAGGTTCAGTGAAACCAGATAATGAGGATGTGTTAAGATGCTGCCTGGCGATGGATCAAAAACAGAGGGGCACTCTTTTAGCTGACTGAATGACTTTTTCAAACTTAGCCTGTCTTAGTAAAAGCAAGGATACAAAACACTGTATGTGTTAACCAATAAACATTTATGTGGGGTATAAATAATGAGAGTGGGGAAAAAGAGCTCCACCACATGAACAGGCAATGTTTACTTTGACATATAGGCATAAATATTTTAATTTAATTTAAAAATATAATATATTGATGGGTTATAACCTCATCATGTCTATACATAACTACATCAAATATGAAACTAGACAAAAGATCATTGAAAAACACAGTCTAGTGGTAATACATACCTAATAGCATCAATTATAAACACCTCACATGACAGGATTTAATCCTCATCAAATGATGATATTCTGAATGAGTTCATGAAATGAGAACGGAAACCTCACAAAAATGTCTTATAGTTTGTTTGGTTATTCTGGTTTCATAATTAAGTTACATATATGCATAAATATTCCTGTAGCTTTCAAAAGCCTATGAGGTACTGTTGTTGCTGTCCGATTGCTTGTCTCTTCTTTTCTGCTCCACGATGTATTCCGCTTCTGAGAGGTGCAGATGGCAACAATTACATGTACAGTTGTAGCTGTTGGAGACACACCTCACCCCAAGAAATGGATCAACAGCCTCACAAGCAGTGAGGTTTTCCATCAGTTTTTCTCTATCAACTCGTAGGGTCTGACCTTCTGGCAGGTGGAACGCCAGGGTCACATGGTCCCACACATACCACTTGTCATATTCATACAAACAATCAAAAGGCTCCACTTCGACCACCTGTGGCCTATGTATTACCGGCTGAAACGCATGGGTTTCAGACACTGCTTGTGCACGCCAGACCATTGTCCCCTCTTGGTATATAAAAACATCTCCACCATTATTAAGAACTGGGTACTTCTCCAATTCCCGTACACCTGGACTGTGAACAAGCACTGTGTACATGATCTCTTGTTTGTAGACAGTAGTTCCATACACTCTCAGGACAGGCTCTTCTCCACCACATATCTGCTGACTGTACATCTTAAGGAGATCAGACAGACTGAAAGTAAACCTGAAGTTCCCATAACGTGATGCCTTCCTGAAGGCAGGTGAGGTGCAGAACTTGCTTAGGAAAGGTTTCTGCATCTGTCTCTGTTCAGGTGTTCTGTCTGGGAAGATCTTCTCCAGGTAACGGTCTTCTGCAACTCTGATATCATCATGGTCGATGGCTAGACCCCACCACAGGAGGCTCTTCTCCCCACCCTTAAATCCACCTGAATCCAAGATTCCATCAAGACCAGACTTTGTGGTGACATGGGTCACACTGGATATGTGAAACTCAATATCAGTGGGCTGTGGGATGTCTTTCTGAACATTCTTGTAACAAGGGAGGTCTTCCATGTCTCTCAGTGTGTCTAGAGTCTTTTGTGCTCCCCAAAAATAGGTCTCCTCTATCCCTCTGGCATTAATACGCTTCATTCTCCTACCCGGAGAGGATAAATTGTACTGAATATTAGGGGTAAATAGGCCTAATGAATATCATCAGGGGATGAAATTTGACTTCAATTAAAATATCTGTATGGTGTAATTAATCTCAAGATATGCTAAATGCACATAGTAGCCGTTTGTAAATAAGATATCTAAATTAATTGGGAAACACAAGCACGTTCTTGGTCGGTGTTGTTACCTAATAATGATCTTTCACAATTTGTTTCTATAGTCCACCATGTTGCAACAGGACACCCTACGCCTGCTTTAAGTTACCCAAAGTGACACGACTCTGCCATCACTCCAGTAATGTAGTTTACACAAACACATGTATTGATGATTCCGAGTAGACGTTCTGTTGATTACGCTGTTGTACTTGTAGCCTTCCACAGAATGAGAATACTCACTTTATATAGGCCTAACCTGAAGATCAAATGGGCGCACGGACACCCTTGGGATTGACAACGGCTCCTCTTATTTTAAGTCCGAGAAACTGGTACTGTATTAGCCAGTGTTATATGTCATTTGCGTTCCTCGAACCCGACGATGGGTTCACATTCGTCTCTCTAGATAGACGGGTTGCCAACCACAATGTTACCAATCTGGGATTTCCGACACTAGAGTTCACATAAGTGTAAAAAAAATAACAACACTCCATCCACTATTTCCGTACCAGGCACTGACTGTCGTCATATGGGAGGGGAAATGAAAAGGCTAGATCATATTTGGTGAAACTCAACGTTAATGCTTATCTTCGTCAGTTCTGCACAGTTCTGCGTATTCACATCAAATGTGTACATGTAATTAAATATCAGTTATAACCCCATTTCATTGTGAAATAAAATTAAACAATTCAAGTGGGGGTTATTTTCCATTGATCAGGCAGCCGATAGTGGCCGCTAGATCTGCACTATCGTCTAGGATTGATGTGCATTCCCGGTAACACACTCGTGTCGCCCGTGGACCGGCTCATACATAAAGCATCCTCTATTCATGCTGCAAAGGCATCATTTTACTAGATTTGTAGAATAGATTTGTAGTTGTAAACACAATTTGCAAATGTGTAATTGTGAACATGAAAAAATATTCTGTAGTTGTAAATATTCTCAAACATGTAACTGATGAGTTGTGATCAGTTGTGAGCATGAAAAAACCAAACAGATTTGTAGTAGGAGCTTTGGTAGGTCTGACCTGTTTCTTCTAACCAATCAGATGAGGTTTTCAAAGACCAGCATACAGTTATTGGTTGGTTGGTGACAGCTCAGATGGTCCGTGTTGTCTGGCAGCAGCCACCTGCCAATCACAACGTTACCAGGTTACCACTGACTGATTGCGGCAATGTCCACCAAAGAAGCCCAGCCACAGACATATGGGAAAATATATCTGGCCCAGCTAACAACTGGGATTTGGTGGACATTGTGCAATCAGTCTCAGTAGTAACCTGGTAACGCATGTCGTGATTGACAGGTGGTTGCGCCAGACAACACGGCCCGTGAGCTGTCACCAACCAACCAGTCTGTGTACAGATGCAATTATTGCTTGCAAATATTAAGTTACAAATTTGAGAACGTGTTTTTCTCATGTTCACAACAAAGTTATATGAGAAACGGTGACATACACTCTGAATGACCTAAAATTATAAATCCCATATTTGTCTAACAGTCAGGCCAACCCAAATTGTACTGTGCAAGTACACTGCTCAAAAAAATAAAGGGAACACTTAAACAACATATCCTAGATCTGAATGAATGAAATAATCTTATTAAATACTTTTTTCTTTACATTGTTGAATGTGCTGACAACAAAATCACACAAAAATTATCAATGGAAATCAAATTTATCAACCCATGGAGGTCTGGATTTGGAGTCACCCTCAAAATTAAAGTGGAAAACCACACTACAGGCTGATCCAACTTTGATGTAATGTCCTTAAAACAAGTCAAAATGAGAATCAGTAGTGTGTGTGGCCTCCACGTGCCTGTATGACCTCCCTACAACGCCTGGGCATGCTCCTGATGAGGTGGCGGATGGTCTCCTGAGGGATCTCCTCCCAGACCTGGACTAAAGCATCCGCCAACTCCTGGACAGTCTTTGGTGCAACGTGGCGTTGGTGGATGGAGCGAGACATGATGTCCCAGATGTGCTCAATTGGATTCAGGTCTGGGGAACGGGCGGGCCAGTCCATAGCATCAATGCCTTCCTCTTGCAGGAACTGCTGACACACTCCAGCCACATGAGGTCTAGCATTGTCTTGCATTAGGAGGAACCCAGGGCAAACCGCACCAGCATATGGTCTCACAAGGGGTCTGAGGATCTCATCTCGGTACCTAATGGCAGTCAGGCTACCTCTGGCGAGCACATGGAGGGCTGTGCGGCCCCCCAAAGAAATGCCACCCCACACCATGACTGACCCACCGCCAAACCGGTCATGCTGGAGGATGTTGCAGGCAGCAGAACGTTCTCCACGGCGTCTCCAGACTCTGTCACGTCTGTCACATGTGCTCAGTGTGAACCTGCTTTCATCTGTGAAGAGCACAGGGCGCCAGTGGCGAATTTGCCAATCTTGGTGTTCTCTGGCAAATGCCAAATGTCCTGCACGGTGTTGGGCTGTAAGCACAACCCCCACCTGTGGACGTCGGGCCCTCATACCACCCTCATGGAGTCTGTTTCTGACCGTTTGAGCAGACACATGCACATTTGTGGCCTGCTGGAGGTCATTTTGCAGGGCTCTGGCAGTGCTCCTCCTTGCACAAAGGCGGAGGTAGCGGTCCTGCTGCTGGGTTGTTGCCCTCCTACGGCCTCCTCCACGTCTCCTGATGTACTGGCCTGTCTCCTGGTAGCGCCTCCATGCTCTGGACACTACGCTGACAGACACAGCAAACCTTCTTGCCACAGCTCGCATTGATGTGCCATCCTGGATGAGCTGCACTATCTGAGCCACATGTGTGGGTTGTAGACTCCGTCTCATGCTACCACTAGAGTGAAAGCACCGCCAGCATTCAAAAGTGACCAAAACATCAGCCAGGAAGCATAGGAACTGAGAAGTGGTCTGTGGTCACCACCTGCAGAACCACTTCTTTATTGGGGGTGTCTTGCTAATTGCCTATAATTTCCACCTGTTGTCTATTCCATTTGCACAACAGCATGTGAAATGTATTGTCAATCAGTGTTGCTACCTAAGTGGACAGTTTGATTTCACAGAAGTGTGATTGACTTGGAGTTACATTGTGTTGTTTAAGTGTTCCCTTTATTTTTTTGAGCAGTGTATGTTAATAGTAGGCCTAATATTGAAAAAAAACATCCTTCAGGTTTTCGCTCTCAAAGTCACACTTTTTAATAGAAAAACAACCAATTGCATGCTCTAAGTCCATAACAATGCTTAAACCACATCAGAAGACCACTTTTGAGGTCTGGAAAAAATCTAAGAAATTACATTTTTTAAATGTAGTTACCCTTTAATTCAAGTGTGCAGGCACCTAGCACTGTAGTTTGGTTAGTGGTGTTTCTGTAGCACATGAGGTGGAGTTTGCAAAACAAATGGACACTGGATTGATGCAAATAATCATTCTGCCTAGTAGGCATAGGCTACTTTGTAGCTAGTTTACATTTAATAGAGAAGGTTTTTGGGAAAGCCTTTCCATCTACCAGAAGATGGTTAGGCCTATCATTAGCATCACTATATTTTACCTGTTCCTTAATTGTTTGAAACCTGGAAATTTTACTTAATATTATGAGGCATGTCTTACCTAGCTTCAATGTAGCCTATAGCTAAAATGCCACCATAGTAACGTGTAGGTATTATATCTACTGTTCAATTGGTTTTCTTTCAACTTTGGTTAATTGTCTAGCAGCCAAAATATTATCCTAGTCATATTAGCAAGCCATTATAGTTGTTGCATCTTTAGATCTTTCCTCTTTCTACATTTCGAACAGATATCTCTGTCCATAAAACCGCTTGCATGTGCAGTGCGAATTTTAGAATGGTGTTTTCCCGCAAATTGCATTTTGGAACATTCGCACATAGGCAATAATAGTTAATCAACATTTTAAGCTAAACATTCTGATCTGTTCCATCAGCCTATTAATTGACATGTCGTAAAAGGCTTAGGTTTTTCCATTTATGTTTTGAGGTTGGACTTTAGCACGTAAAGCTTGTTAGCACCTACTGTAGGGCACACCAATTTGTGTCACCTCATTAGTCAGTATGTGTTACACCTTTGCTGGTTGCTATCTCGTTAGTGGGAAGGTGTTTCACCTGTGCTGGTCCAGGTGCTATTTAAGAGTGGCTGGCCCAGTACTCCAGTTGTCTTGAGCGATGTGGAGGGTTAACACCTTTAGTTGACTCTCCCTATTTGATTTCTAGACAAACAATCCTTTATCTGATCTTCCCTGTTTTCGTTTTGCGCAACTTTTTGGTTTGCTTCCTGTCTTTAAGTTTGATGTGGGTTTTTATTTTGTTTGCCTCTTGGGCAAATTTAGTGGGTGGTCATGGTGGGTGTCTTTTGGGTTCCATTTGTTTTTGAAGTAGCCTATTGAAACCAAACCATATGATTTGAATGAAAAGTATTTTAATAAACAACATGAAAATGTGGCTACATTTCAAATAGGCTACATGTCGTATTAAACAGTATATAAACGCTAAATAGGTCAGGTAGCCTAATATTATTAGCCTATTTCAAGGCTAGCCTAAAAATAAATAAATTGTGAAGTGCGACAAACTAGGCTGGCAGGAACATTAAGCACTCAGCATTTAAACATTTTGATCTATTCAATTATTATAGTCTATAAATTGCGCATATAGGCTGTGACATAGAATTAAATTAAATGAAAAATGCCATATTAGGCTGTCTACAGTGCCTTTGAATTCACTTTTAGAAAAACGAGTTTGGCTAGAGTCTGTGGCTTCAGGCTCATGCAATGGTTCCTGGAGACCAGGCCAGCAGCGGAGAATACCCTCTCAGTGCTTGCAGAGAGCCACTTGGGATGCTAAG